CGCAAAAAACTCGTCACAAATTATCAAGCATCAGTTAACTCAAGTGTCCAACCACATTCAATCGAGAAAAATCAACAATTGTAAGTTGTTTTTGAGTTTTTTAGAGTTTATGTAATTTCTACTCAAGTGTTTTACGTTAGAAATTGAGATTTTGTTGTTTGTTTTCAATATTAAGTATCATTAGTTAATTATTGGAAGTCTCATTTTGATGATCAATGATATTTTGTTTGAGGTTGTATGCCCTCTGCTTTGTCATTGACGAAGCTTGAAATTGTAGGTCGAACCAAAAATGCCTTTTCAATTTTTATTTTGAACAAAACCGGAAATGCATATCCGATTTTAGTATGTTTCTATTTTCCTCTCCATTTTGAACAGTGGTCCTTGTGTTAACATTTTTTTCGTACTTCTATAGGAGTAATGGTTGAGAGACCATATAGATTGAGGCATGGTAGGCTTGCACAACATGCTTCTATACAAGGAGAAAGGAGTCAGACATCACAAGCTCCTTCTGCCTCTGGATAGGTTGTGTCAGATGCGCGTATTGCTGCCTCTGGCTCCACTGTTCCTGTTTCTACTCCGACTTCATCGTCCTCCCACAGAAGACAGGATTCTCTAGTTCATCCCTCCCTGTTTTCGTCCTCCCGTAGACGCACTTCCTCACCAATGATTTTTCAGGTGAGAGAGGCATCTGGTTTCTATCTGACACCAGATGTCACACAACCGACACCTCAGGTCCAACCACAACCTTCATCCTAGACACCTGAGCCGACACCTGCACCTGAGCTGACACATGCACCACAACCTTCATCTCAAGCACCTTATGCGGCACCTCAAAGTTTTGGAGGAGGACCGTCTGATTTATCTATGTTGCCTCTGTATCCGGACCATGTTGCTAGATATATATGGGACAGAGAGATGTGAATTTTGATTTGTTCTTTCTATTACATTTTTATTATGGATTTTTGTTGAATGAATTTTGTCAATCATGAATGCAGAAACGTGATTCGTTGAAGGTCATTAATCATGGACAGAAGATCACTAATCTGAAAGCCCCTCTTGAGTCATGGTTTGATGAGCTGTTGATGCTTACAGGATTGAAATATTTGATAAAGTGTGGTTATAGCATCGATAATCATGGTATGATTAACGCTTAAGCTGGCACCATGAGACGTCGTTATTCTATCTATCACATGGTGAGATGACGATCACACTGGACGACGTCGCGCCTCTACTGCATCTCTTGATTATAAGGACATTCTTAGCATGAAAGGATTGACAAAGAGGAGGCGTTGGATAGGCTGGTCTTTGATGACATACACTTCCATTCATACCATGATCGTCGTGTCACAATACTATTTGATGATATTGTGTTGTTTACGTAATGGTAAGCTTGCGGGTCGCGCAAGACGACTTCTTATATACCTAAGTGTGTCACACGTTAGTTCAGGTACACCTAGTACAATCCCTAGGATCATGTTGTATCTGCTCCTCCCCTGGTAAAACACAGAGATATGGATGTTTTGTTTGATGATTATGAGAATCATCTCGTTTCAGATGAGGCCAGGAGTACTATCGCTCTAGACGACTGGAGCTACGTGGACGGTGATATCATATGGTTCTTCGGGATATAACATCCATACCTGGTACATGATGCTCCAGGAAATCCTCTGATGCCATCTCATCAGGAGATTCTAGAAGAGGGACAGGCAGATGCTGATCATGCCATAAATGTGTTGCCTAGGTGTCGTCGTATCATGAACATTGCAGAGGCAGATGTTAATGGTGGTTTGTTTTCTGATGACTCTGATGTTAGAGGTGTTCTGGATGTCTTCATGACGGAGGCTCGGGGGGCTCTGCAGTACAGGAGGCAACGGAGGAACGCCGAGAGGGGGTGGGGCCGAGTCAGAGTTCGTCGTACCCAATAGTCTTTTCTGTTGTATATGTATATTGGTTATTGTTTTTTATTGTATTTGGATATGATTTGGGTTATCTCCTATATTGACTACGAGCATCTTTTGTATTGTTTTCTGATATCTATTTTTATATGTCTTTGTTCTACATGTCTTTGTAGTATGTTTTGTTGTATATGTCTTTGTATTCAATACGAAACAACGCGCAAAAAGACTCAGTGTCGGCATAATTCTTTCTGGTGTTGTCTGCATAGAAACTGGAAATTTATTTCCAGTTCACTTCGGAAATATATTTCCGGCTTTTAGACAATATTTAACAGAAAATGGTGTGTACCGAAAATATATATCTGGTTTTCAGAGACATTTTAGAGAATGCATAAGATTTTTCTTTTCACTATAAAGTAGAAAGAGAAATTACCTAAATTTGTTGATTAAAAGGATGCCCAGGTTTGTTTGGGCCAAAAGCCCAACAAGAATGTTTTAAAATTTTCTAAGAATAATTTTTTGAAAAAATATAATTAAAATTAAGGACTAACAAGTGTCTAGAAAATTGACACTAGGGGTGGCAAAACAGGTCATCGTGTGTCAGATTAAAAAATGGTTAGTTGAGTGGAGATTTTGGACCCGTCGCCCATCAAAGTTTGCCCCACTAAAGACTGTTGTCCGCCAAAGCCGGTCTCGTAAAGATCCATCGTCCGTCAAAGCCCACCGCACCTATTCATTCATCTTATCCCACCTTAAGTCGATCATTTTTTAGTTAATTTTAGTAGGTCAAATTCTTAATAATTTTATTCTATACATTTATTTGTGAACATATGTAATACTTTTTTAAATATATTTTGTTAAAAAGATGCTTTATAAAAAAAAATTTAAAAAATAAATGAAAAATTTAATTGAAACGTAAAAAGAGCCTTTTAATTTATTAAAAAATTGAAAAAATAAATAAATAAATAAATAAGCGGGTAAGCATGTTGTCCACTAACCCGCCGTCTTAGCAGGATGAACTAGATTTTTATGCCTATTTCCACTTGACAGACTTACCCGCTCCGTTCATTTTTTAGCGAACTTAAAACGGAATGGAGCGGAGCGGAACAAACTGCCATTTTATCATCCTTAATTGACACGTTATTAAAAATATATTTTATAAGAGATTAAAAGTTTAAAACATTAAATTAAATGAATAAAAAATGCATTTAAATCTATATTTTATAAAATAATAAAATAGAAAAATCTCACAACATTTATTATATATATATGTTTTAAAATAAAAAATATATATGTTTTATTATACTTATGAGGATTAAAAGTTAAAAACATTAAATTAAAGAAATAAAAAGTATATGTTTTTAAATCCCTCATAAAACATATAAATATGATAAAAGTTAAAAACATTAAATTAAAGAAATATATGTTTTATATATTAATGAGGGATTTATGATATATATATGTTTTAAAATGAAATAAAAATATATGTTTTATTATATTTATAAGGGATTAAAAGTTAAAAACATTAAATTAAAGAAATAAAAAATACATTTAAATTTATATATTATAAAGTAATAGAATAAAAAATCTCATAACATTTATTATAAATAAAATATATAAAACATACTACTTTAAATATAATATATTTTAAATACTATATTAAATTGCTTAAAGTAATACACAAATATTCAACATAAAACAAATTAATAAAATATTTAAAAAAAATTGTAAAGTGAAATGTGAAATCATTAAATATTAACTTAATTATATTAAATTAAAATATTTAATATAAAATTATAGAATATAATAAAAGAGATAAGATTTACTTATAGAATATTATAGAAGATATAAGATTTACTGAAGTGACACAACTCAATGTGTTTTTTTAAACAAATAAATATTAGTATAATTTTAAATAATTTATAACTAGGTTAAACGAGCTACATTGATCCATAAAAGTTTGTTCTAATGAGTAGATGATTTTTAGGGTAAGCTTAAAAAGTCCTTATAAAATTTGAGCTATAATTAAAAGAAACCAAGATTTGACCGAGCGACCCAAATGAATTAATTCATTCCAATCTATTTTTTTATTAAAAAACACACAGATTTTTTTATTATTAATAAATATGATACTAATGTTTTCTTTTTTCATTTGAACTTTCATCCTTATGATAGATAACTTCTTAGAAAACTCACATGGTTTTTATTTTTTGATAATTAAATTAGAATTAAAATAATATATACTTTAAATTTTTAAATATTTATTTTAAATATTAAAATTAAACTTAATCTCAATAACTTATTAGTTTATTAATCTATTTTATCATATATTAAACGATTTATTTAATTAAATTTATATAAAATTAACTTTTAAATAACTTAATATGTCAAATCAAAACTTTAAAAAAGTTTTACTAAAACCTAAAATTAAATCTATTATTAAACACAAGTTTAAACCTTAAAGTTTTTGATATATTAAAGTTAGATTTTATAAAGTCTAACTCGATTCAATTTATTATCGTTCCTATTTATCATATATCTATGTTATAACCTTATTTATTTATTTATTTATAAATGTGACATTTAATTGTCTATAAGTTCTAAGTTGAACTGCAGCGTAAGATAATTAGGTAAAGCACAAATTTGAATTGAGGATTTTTTCATGTATTAATTTATTTTATTTATTACCACTTTGTCCATAAATAAAAAAATAAATAAAATATATAATCCATTTTATTAAAAGAAGTAATCAAAATTTAATTTATTATAATTTTATAGCAATGAAATAGGTAAACATTATTTATTGTTAATTTAATAAGTATTGATGGTATACTTCTCCTTTTCACGCAAGTACTGATATAATTAATTAATACAATGGATACATTCAGTCAAAAAGAGAATAGTATATTTTATTATGTATATTAATCAATTTCAAACACAACCAGGACAAATCAAAAGAATTTAGAACTGATTTTATCTTATTAATTAATTCCAAAAATGTAACACCCTCAACAGGAATAAAATCCCCTATAGTCATTGTACAATACACAATTTATATATAACACATATAGTTGTAGAAAAAAATAGAGTTGTGACTGAAAAAAAATGGAGATTTCAAGTTTTAAGAAAAACATGTTGACGATGATGATGATGATGGCTATGACGTGGAACATAGCAAAATCTGATCTTCACTATGTTGGAGGAAATAAATTTGGATGGGTACCTGGTGTTAACTTGACACAATGGTCATTACATGAACAAGTTCTTGTTCGTGATTGGCTATGTAAGTTTTCTTCTCTTTTTATTTTATCTTTTTTTTCGTCGATTTTCTACTTGTTCAGTTAATCATGTTTATAGTGAAGCTAACAACTAAGTTATCGATAGCTTAGTTAAATTTAGCTTGGTGTGCGATTTTAATACAAATTTGAAAATTATATGATACTAATATAGTTGGCGATTTTAAATATCACAATGTTATGAAATTTTGTCAATTTCTAAGATAAAGTATTTTCGGTCATTCGATTTTATTAAATCTAGTATTTTTCTTTTCTTTTCTTTTCACCATGATTGACTTGTTTTTCTTATATACTTCGCAAGACTTTGGATATGATAGACACACTTTCAATGTGTTAGAGGTGAACCAGACAAGCTATGAAAAGTGCATTGATACTGGATTCATCAAGAACATATCAAGAGGCGCCGGACGTGACGTTTTCGAGCTGACGGAGGCGAAGACCTATTACTTCTTAAGTGGAGGAGGTTACTGCTGGGAAGGGGTGAAGGTTGCTGTTGATGTTCTTGACCATCTTCCACCAGCTCCTGCGCCAGCTCCCAATAAAAGTGGCAGTTCTTCAATTTCTTCCACCTTTCAGATATACCATTCAATTGCTGGGGTTATCTTAGTCTTAATTCTCACCAATTTTTTGGTATAATTTCAGTTATTAGAATTTACATAAAGTATCAGAGGATGTTTTGTTGATTTTCATTTGTCTTTGTAATGGTGGATTCATCTATAGAATATTCAAACTTTGTTATGAGGTGGTTGAAAACTATTGTTTAGTTGCTTTGTCTTTGAATGTCATCTATTACTGCTTATAAAAAATAAAAGGGGTGGATTGTTAGTTTATGCTCCATGAATTTATCATAAATTTCATTTTTTTTTTGTAAATCAACAATTTTATACTATATGCATTCATTAAGAAGAAGAAACATAACACAAACAACAGGACACAAACAGAACAATAAAAATACCATCAGAAATGAATGCCACAATGGCTTTAGAGGTGGCCGCTTGGAGCCCGTTTCTGCAGATGGGGAGACACTCCATCGGAGAAGAAATTCTGGCAACGAGTGATGATTGCTCGAGGCGGGGCTGGAACGTAGAGGAATCCGCGAGGAGGTTATGCTAGAATCCCGACAGTGTGGAGCTCCATGACTAACGGTGGCAGAAAACAGTGTTGGGGGATTTGCATGGTGGAGGATCTGTAGTTGTCGATGGGGGGGAGAGAAAAAAGGAAGGTAGTGTGAGGCTAACTAGGAAGATTTTGGTATGATTTCAGTTATTAGAATTGACATAAAGTATCGGAGGATATTTTGTTGATTTTCTATTGACTTTGTAATGGTGGATTCTACTATGAATATTCAAACATTGTTATGAGGTGGTTGGCAATTATTGCTTAGTAGCTCTATCTTTGAATATCATCTATTGTTGTCAACTAAATATGTAACAAACAACCAAACACATGGAGGGAGCAAAAGTCAAGAGGGACTTGCCATACCAAAAGTTTTGTTTTAATTCCAAACTCAGGTAATGGTCAAGAAGAAAGATGAACCCATAGTCGTTAAATCAATCCAATTATGAATCACATTTCGACAAAGTGGTCTCAAATAAGACCAATCTAAACTCATTTTCGAGAGCCATTTGAAGGGTAGAGAGGATGTCGACATTGGCGGCACCACCAACACAGAACTTAGAATATATTTTCAAGAAGCCAAATACAAGGGATACAAACTTATAAATAAAATAAACATAACACTAACAAACGATATGAAAGAGAAAACAGAACAATGAAACCACCACCAAACACATACTTATAAAATTTCAAACCAGATAGAAGTAAAGATATCAAGCCATGCAAATGCCATTGATGGTTTTAGAGGTGATCGCTTGGAGCCCGTTTCTGCGGGCGCGAGACGCCCCATCGGAGAAGAAACTTTGGCAGTGAGTAATGGTCACTTGAGGCAGAGCTGGAAGGTAGTGGACTCTCCGAAGAGGTAAGGCTGATATCTCGATGGTATGGAACCAGGGTCCTCTTAAGTTTTTAGAGGCTCTGTGTTGAGTGTTGACTAGCTATGGTTGAACCATGACAAAACAATAGAGGCCCTATGTAGTTATGGTCTAATCATGGCAGATCCATTATGAGACCTTATTTACCACAATTTTATCTGGGAAAATCTGAGACCTTGTGCTGTAACCCATCTTGCACACCCTCAAAGACGACACTGTATGGAACTCACCTCTATGACTTATGGTGGCAGAAAAAAACAGCATTGGAGGATTTGAGGTGAAAAGAAGGTAGTGTGAGGCTAAATAGGATGAGCTTTTGGATAAAGATGGAGGTGTTTTATACTCCTAATGGAGGAGGAAGAAAACCACAAAAGAGGTGGGAGGAGGCTACCAAATCCTAAGATTTAGGAGAGTCTTTTTCTAGAGAAGGGAGAGCATCTCTCTAAAACTCATAATTGACAATCACAGCTTTGCATTAGTTATTGCGATGAGTTTAATAACTATGTACCAGAAGAATAAACATATTTAAATATCCCATCACATCTTAATATTACTTCTTAAAAACAACACATAAAAAACAAATTGCCACGAAACTACAGGTAAACCTTACTCGCAATTACAGTACACTTTTATTCCAAAACCATTAGTGTTAAAGGGTACAAAATGCCAAAAATTGATCATAGTCATACTGATAGATTATACCCTTTCTCCCATTTGATTCATAGTTATAGAAAGAACTGAGATATTACAAAACATGAACAGATCAACATTAAATAATCAAGCATGAGTCATTATCAATTACAAACAGATTACCGGTATTATCTAATATCACCCATGAAAAGGAATTGTGATGTGAGTAGCTTCTACTGCTTCTTATACTTCCACTGCTCTATAATCAAGGGTTGGTAACAAAGCCAATGCTTCACCTTCAATGACAAGAATTTCTCCATTCTTGAAGCACCTTGTCTTAAACTTTGCACTGAATAACATTGACAAACACTTCAGTAGAAACAAAACCATTATCAATTCAAAAATGCAGAAGACAGTAGTTTTAAGACTTACAGATATCGATTTTTATTTTCTCTTAGATTAGTAGCTTCTACTTCACCAACAATCCGATCTCCAATATAGACTGGTAACTTAAATTTTAACGTTTGAGACACATACACAGCAGCAGGCTACACAATTATCCATAATATTATAAAAGTCAAGGGGTCAGAGAAGAAAAGGAGTAATCTTTATGAAAGTTGTTATCAAGGAACTAGAATGAAAGACCTCATGTAATTGCCCTGCCTCAATTCACATTATTAGTCAAGCAATTGAATATGAAGTCTTTTATCCATGTACGCATATTTTCACAACCATCATAAGAATAGCAGTATTGTCAAATGCATATTGCAGAAAATAGCGGTTTGTTAGAACTCTTCTATACTACGATACTATAGTTGCTATTAGACAATACTTTGTTCTAAACAGTGTATTATGGAACAATAATGATTTGTTTAAATCAGCTCGGCTACGCTATAACGTTGCTATTTGACAAGTAGTAAAAATTATGCCAACTGACATTGAGAAGTTTATCCAAACTGGTGTGTATCATTTCTAACAGTGTTATGAAAATTTAAAGAGAAGTTTAACATGGAACTTACAAAATGTGATGAGATGATATTCGGAAAAAGTGAAACAACAAGCATCCCATGTACCAATGGACCTTCAAATCCCACATTTCGAGCAGCAGCGGAATCGGTATGCAAAGGATTAGAATCATGACTGACTTTGGAATACTGAAGAACATCTTCCTCAGTAAAAACCCTTGCTTTTTTCAAAACATCACCAAGTTTAAGTACAAGAGGAGGAGCTGCAGATGAAAAACACCTCATACTCAGATACTGAAGTTTCCTACTAGAATGTAAACTCCTGAAGAGCATTCTTGCAAAGGCTCAACTCAACAAAACAATGCCCTGATGCTAATGCTGAAAATGAAGGTGAGTATAATTTAGGATTATTGGTTGAAACATTTTATCAAACAGCTAAGTTGCATGATAAGAGTTGAAGGCAAATGAGGACGATTCAAAGCAAATATGCAATAAAAAAACGATCTTTATTGTTTGTTGATAAAACCATTACAGCAGATTTTGTTCAAACTTTCAATCTTCGGTTTGGATTTTTTCAATTTCTTGACGCTTCAAGTTTAACTTATCACACTACTACAACAAACAATTGGATGAAGCTTATTATTAATTATTTATTATTTTATTTCAGGTTTTTTTTTTTCACAAACCAAATTAAACAACAACTAAATATGAATTTTTTATTTATTTCAAAAAAAAAAACTACATTTTGGTTTTCTTTCTTCATGTATATATATATATATATATATATATATATATATATATATATATATATATATATATATATATATATATATATATATATATATATATATATATATATATATATATATATATATATATATATATATATATATATATATATATTGGTTTCGTTTAGGTTATTACAATATTTATTATCATATCATTTAAATTTAAATTTTAAAAGTTTTTCAACTTCCCAACAAAAATAAAACTAATAACTTCTCATTTACAGTAAAATAATAACAATAATAAATAAATAAATAAATAAATAAAACTAATAACTTTACCATCAATAAATTAATTTTAGATTTGTTTATTACTTTACTGGGTCAAAGTTGAGAGAATTGGACATTTAAAGAAGTGATAGGTATCATCGGAGGAGAGTGACTATTAAATAATATTTTAGTATTTTTAATTGTTTTAGATAACTTAATTATTAAGTCTATTTTATTAGAGTTTAAGTGACATTCTCTTTTGTGTATAAATAGACTAATATCTTTCATTTGTAATAATAACAACAATATTTATTTCTCTTTCAGCTTTTACAGTCGTCATTCTCTTTGCTCTCTTAAATTTATTCTTTGTTCATCATTGATTCTTGTGCACTAACAATTAGTATCTACAACTCTGGTTCTGATCCACAGGTAAACATGAGTGAAACGTGAGGCGTTTGTGTGATTGATTTTGATTCTGGACTCGTGTTGAATCTATGAACAAAATCTGTACAAAATTACATTTTCTGATTCCGTGGGGTTGAGAAACACTGTGCTTGTGAGATTTGAGTGAGTTGCACAAAGTTAAAGATGAACGGGAACAGTAATTTGAGTACTAAATTTCTTGTTTTTTATGGCAAGAACTGGAACAGGTGGATGATTCAGATGCGCGTGTTGTTCGGCGCTCAAGATGTTCTTGAGCTTGTTACCGAAGGTTATGTTCCAGTTGCAGAAAACACGACAAAAGAGCACAAAAACGCACAGAGAGACAAGAGGAAGAAAGATCAAAAGGTGTTGTTCTACATCCACCAGTGTGTAGATGTGGACGTGTTTGAGAAGATTGCAAATTTGATGATGTCAAAGGGTGTGTGGGATATTGTGATCGGTGGAAATAGAATTGACTGTTTTGGAATGCTGGTTCGCGTTTGTGTTTAGCAAAATGTCGCGGTAAGCAAGAGTCGCCACCGTCTTTTATTTTCTCCAACAAGGAAAGGACAAAAGCACAGCAAAATTCCTTTTCGAGATGTTTCTCGGATTCGGGAGGTAGATTATAGAAA